GACAAGGTGATCAGATGTTTTCAGTCATGTTTAAACATAATCATCATTTGACCTGAATCACTGGACTTATTTAAAGCCTACTCTACTTTTTGACTTAAATGTAAAATGATCACAGCATCACAATGATTATATAGCAATTGATGTAAATATAAACCAAATTATATCCTAAATGTTGTTCTGAAAACTTTCTTATTGGCACACACAGACATCAAGACTCAGTGTATGAATCTCAACAATGGTGACAAACAGAATATTCAATTAGGAAAAGGCGATTACAATTACTAAGACAATTCAGATCATAATTTATTCACACTGCAATGCATGCTTGGCCAACAAATTAGCTATTTGCACTTGGTGCATTAATAAAAATATAAATGAATATGATCAATAACATTAATGTAACTTGCATGACTAATCTTAATGCTCAGAAGTTTCTACAGCTGGAATCTCATGACAGAATAGATGTCGGATGCAGCCCTAAAAAATTGCACAGAATCTTGTGAGATGAGATAGCTGGCACATCATTTCACTGTCAGTTTGCAGTTTTTTCAGAAGAACATTTTAATTAAAAATTCTTAAGATTTACTGTAAGAACTAGGCTTGGCTGGCAGGATCCCACTACAAGCAGATATTAAAATGCCTGTTGTTGTGTAATAATGTGTGTGCCACAGTTGTAAGTAGGTCCAGTGAACTACGTGCTCTATATTAACCTGTGTACTTCAGGGCAGGACTGCTGAAAGCAAAGCTCAAATCAGTCAAAAGCTTTTTTTTTTTTTTTCCAAAATATTTTTTAGATCTGTGTTCTAATTTTTTTTTAAATTTATTTAAAAACATGCACCATTAACAAAGAATCTCATGTTTTGTTTTTCCAATTTTGTTCCTCGTATGGATTTTTGGGGACTGGGATGAAGATAGTTTAGTTTTTTCAGTTATTTATTTATTTATACTAATCCAACAACTTGGCATCATATTGCATGATGCAATCCCTCTGTCAATATTTATTATTCCAGATATTTTGAAAGTTAAGATAAAAAAAAAACTGAATCACAATAAGTTGGAATGTGTGATGAATTTAATTTCACCAAAGTAGTTTTAAGTTGTCATTAGTATCATAATGTTTTTAAACAGGGGTGAGCGGGGCATAAACTAACGCGCGGCTAGTTGTAACACACATGGTTTAATGCGTATTTAGTTGCCATATCAAGACCATATAGAGAAAAAATATAGTTGTTGGAAGTTTAAAATTAAAAAAAAAATGTTTGAAAGAAGATACTGAACATTTAACAAAAAATAAATTTCTTAATTCAGTTATTATTTTGTTACTTTCAGTTTTGTTTGTTCCTCTGTAGTTTTAGTTTCCACTGAGTCATGTTCACACACAAAGATTCACGCATCCATGCACTTTACACACACCTTGGATTATAACATTCTCACACCTTATTCCTTTTTCTTTGTTTAAAGTTAATAGTTTTTGTTTTAGAATAAATAACCTGATTGGCCTATACCTGTTGTTCGTGTCTCCTCATTTTTGAAAGGCTATGAGCTGGCCTGTGACAAGTGGGAGCTCGTCCTCCACTTAAAGTTAGTTGTACTGAAATCTTACTTCAGTATTTTAGTTTACTTTTACATTTTGTCACAGTTGGTTGAAGTTTTGTCAAGTTTGTCTTTGTCTAATCATTGGTACATTTGTTTATTTGTAGTTTGGATATTTTTACTTTTGTTCTGGAGTTAACTTGGGTTAGAAGTTGTATTAGTTTGGTTCTGATTGCCAAACTTTTTGTTTGAGGTCACCTTCATAGAAATCAGTAAAAAATTAGAAGTTAATGATCACGCGATCTGAACATTAAAGGGATAGTTCACTTTGAAATGATTTTTGTTTTCTGTGTGTTTTATCTTACCTCAAGGGCATCCAAGATGTAGGTGTCTTTGTTTCCACAGTATTTTCAATTTTGACATTTTTCGGTCAAACCGTTCTTGTCTGTCATATAATGGAGGTCTATGGTCACAAACCTCAAAGAGCATGCACAGAGAAGTCCAAATTAAACATGATTTTATGACTCGTAAATGTAAGTACACATTGATGGCCTAAGACACGAAACGAGCAGTTTGTGTAAGAAAACAAACAGTATTTATATCGTTTTTACCTCTTGTAACCACAGCCACGTCCAACTGATCTGAGGGCGTGGTCTTCCCAAGCGCCGGAAGTGATCTTAATGGTTGTGAAAAAAATTAAACGTTGCCTGTTGATATATCGAAATCCATTCGTCCATTGCGATTTCATGTATATCTAAATATGTTTAGATCTTCACAGTAAAAGGTTAAACTTCCAAAATCTCTGTGTAAACAATGTTCTATAGGACGTTTACTGTCAGATGTCAAATAGACGTTTAGAAGATGTCTTTAAGATGTAATGGTTTAGAATGTATGTTAAACTGACACCTTAAAGATGTCTATCAGATGTTAATAAACAGCATAATTCCAGATAATACTTCACAAAAGTTCATTATTTGGATGCGCTTTAAAGCCTTGCCGGTTTAACCTTTCATTTGCGTGCTGATGCACTGTTCTAACGTGCGCCTTTCTGAGCGCAAACAACCGAAGCGCATGTCTAACAACGCTTGGATACTGGTACTAGGCTAAGTTATCTTTTGAGTTTCGTTGCGCTAATTCTGTCAAATGCACACAAGGTTTACATAAACAGAGTTGGTAATGTCTAAAGTGGAAGCAAACATTTGCGAGTAAATATGGTGCGTATGTCATATAGATGCGTACCGCTAAAGTGACAGTAGCCTAATAGCAAACATACGAGCCCGTTCTCATCCCAAAGCGCCATATAGGACGCTTTTGCAAAAGCGTAAATATCCAACGCACATGGCACCCTTTAACGTGAAATGGGACGCAGATATATTTGGGCAGAAGGCGCCCCCTAGTGGTCTAACCCTTACCCTACACCTTACCTAAACTTAACCATAACCGAAGCGTCTCATTAGACGTTAAAGGGTGCCATGTGCGTTGGATATTTACGCTTTTGCAAAAGCGTCCTATATGGCGCTTTGGGATGAGAACGCGTTGAACATACTGGCGCTTCTCCTTAAGGCGGGCGTACACGGTGCGATTTTTTGCTGTTTTACGAGCTCGCAGATGATTTTTTTCACTCGGGGGAAATCGCGTGTAAATCGGTTATGCTCGCATGTCGCGGCTCGTATCGTGTGCGAGGAAGATACGAGCCGAGCCGAGCACCTCTCGACCTCCCGATAATTTTTAAGCATGTCGAAAAAGTTCGGGAGCTGTTGGCTTGCATTCGTGAGGTGTATGCGGTTGAATGAGCCGATTTGTCGATCTATCTGAATTTGACCAATCGGGAGCTGAGGAAATCCACAGAAGAAATACGAAAATGGTGTGGACTACTAGAAACACTGCTTCAATTAATGTTTTTATGATGACTTTGTGAAAGGTTAACTAAACAGCATCTGCCGTGTTCCTACTGGCCAGTATTTGGCATATTTCATTCTGAAACAACTGTAGGCTATGCTATTGTTTTTGATAGTGTTATACATTTCTTACAGATTCTTACACATCACGATGATCATTAGGCTATGTTTGTATCCTCCTAAAAGCAATAACAGTTTGTCTACAGCCTAAGCTTTTTTTTATTAATGCCGACAGAACAATGTTGCCAGATATTGCTACGAAAAACAAGCAAAAACTAACAAAAACAAAGAAATTATATAAAAATCCAAAATAAGTTCAAAGCTTGTGTTTTGAAAATAAGATAAATATATTACGAACCACTTTAATAACTTCCTAAAGCGTGACATTAATCCAAAAAACAAGTCCAGATACTGGCACCTTTCCATTATGTGGATCTTGCAACACGGGATCTGGCACCCGCGCCCTCACTCTCACAACGCGCTCAAGCTCACTCAAGCCCCGTTCACGGCGATAGCTTCTCAGAGCAAAATGAATTGCAAACGCTCACATGAGGTGGTTTAAACGGCTAATTAATCATTCAGAGAGCTTGAAATTTATTTTTGAATGTGTAGCCTACCGTAACTATGTCCGTCCGGACGTCCGTTTCGCGGTGCTGAAAACGAGCCTATAGCAAAATAACCACGGCTTGTATCAATGTTTTATATGCAGTTATGAGAGTTTTTAGTGCGGAACTTTGTGCGATTTCTTCGGAATTCAGCAGGTCGTAAAATCGTGTCGTATATCACTGCCTCCATACGATTTTTGTATAAACGCACTCGTAAAGTGTGCCTGGGCATACGATCTTCCGACCGTCAGAATTCGTACCGTACGCCCGCCTTTAAAGGGAAAGTTCAATTTGTTCAAAAGTTCAATAATGACTGTTTCCATTTTTGGGGGATCTATCCTCTTTAAACGAGTGGTTGATAATGATTTCACTTTAGTTAGTGTGTAATGTTAATGTTTTAGCATAAACAACATCTGCCAAGTTACAACACTCAAAGTTAAGTTAAACTAGCAATAAATAACATGTAATAAAACATTTTTACCCTTAATAGTCACAGATCAAACTAACAGCCATCATGGTGGTTATATTAAATATGAAAACATTGTAGATAACTGCATATGAGAGAATGAACTGCTGAATATCATTATTGAAAAGAGCCGAGAAACAGAATATGCTCTAAATTGTTCAGAAAACTTTCCGCTATTATTATTCATAATATAGAATTGACGATATCTTTAGTCACACTGTGAATTAAACTGTAAATAAGATGTCAGTCTTCCCACAATGATCATTAAAAATATGAATACACAACTAGTAGATAAATGTGTAGAAATTACGTTTGTGCTGATCGAATGGCATGCGTGTTTTTCAAAAACTGGTAATGTTCAGGACACAAGAACCAAGTCACATTATTTATGCAATCATTTTATGGCGTTTATTAATGTACACATGAATGATTTGAGGCAGACTGCAGGTTGAGGAATATCAGATATCGATAACTTCACAATGTCGGTTTTTATTGCAATTATCAGAAACAGAAAACCACCAACCCAAAACAAACCTATATAAATATAATAGTATAATGTGAATTTATCTAGTCATTTATCATATCAAAATCTTTATCTATTGTATTTGTTTGGTAATGTGCCATGTACACAATTATTCAATACACTTAATACATCTCATAGACATTTTGGACAGCTGTCAACCAGTTTTTGAGTAACGAGTCACAACTTACTGTCAAATCTGTCCATATATATTATTATATATATTACCCAAATAACAAACTTGAGTACGGGCAAGAATAGTTCGGCGGAGATGGTGACTTACATCTGATTAAGAAAGGGATTGTGGGCTTATATGGTTGTTGGGTCACCGTGTGTTAGAGCGGTTCCCTCATAACCTGGACACATGACTAGCAATAGCGTCAGATTTCCCAGGTCGCTCGTACTGTGAACACAGCGATCCAGGAACAGCCACTGCTTTCAGATCAGCCACAAAGGGTGCCGGGTCCTGCATGACCTCGTTAAAGAGGATGTTCGTCAGCTCAGTCACATACTCTAAAACACAACGCATAGAGTTTGAGTCATTCATATGCTCTCAACGAACTGTTAGAGTAACTGCGATAGAAATTGTGTTTTTCCAAATGTGGTACACCTCGTCACTCAGGTGCTGCCAAAATCTTGTAAATGCACAAATGCAGAATCATATACACTACCGGTCAAAAGTTTTAGATCAGTACAATTTTTTATGTTTTTAAATGAAGTCTCTTCTGTACGGAGGCGTATTGCATTCACTTGGAGAAAAAAAAAATCTACTCTGTTTTTCTGAATTAATGAGTTAATTTTTCATGAGAAAAAAATTTTTTTTCTCTGTTTTTCTGAATTAATGAGTTAATTTTTCATGAGAAATTTTTTTTTCTCTGTTTTTCTGAATTAATGAGTTAATTTTTCATGAGAAAAAAAATTTCTCTGTTTTCTGAATTAATGAGTTAATTTTTCATGAGAAAAAAAATGTTGCTCTGTTTTTCTAAATTAATAAGTTAATTTTTCATGAGAAAATTTTTTTTTCTCTGTTTTTCTGAATTAATGAGTTAATTTTTTATGAGAAAAAAAAAATTCTCAGTTTTTCTGAATTAACGAGTTAATTTTTCATGAGAATTTTTTTTTGCTCTGTTTTTCTGAATTAATGAGTTAATTTTTCATGAGAAAAATTTTTTCTCTGTTTTTCTGAATTAATGAGTTAAAGGGACTCTGTGTAGGAAATACCCCCATCTAGTGGTTAAATAGTATTTTGCATTCAAACGAATTTTGCTCTCCAGCGCCTCGCTTTTTCAAGTGCGTATTGCATCTACGGTTGCCGTTATGTACCAAAAATGCTATGACAGGATGTCTTGTAGTAACACTTCATCGAGTTTTTCTCCGGGTGAACAGGTTTGTAACTTAAAAAAAACCAGCAACTTATGTGTTAACTTATGTGTACAATTTATGTGTCTAGCTGTATAAATTAATTTTAATTCTCTGTACAATCTTATCCACATAGCAAAATCACAATTTTAGCTAATTGATCATATATATAAAAAGAAAGCTATAGAAAATCTTACAGAGAGCAATATTTTCTTCAATATTTTCTTACAATCATTATCTCTATATTCTTACTGAATTTATAGGTTATAAAGAATTAACTTACAAACCTTGTTTTTAGCACCTTCCTTCACAATAGCTGCGAGTAAAGTAGTCAATAGCTGCTATTCATCAAAGACCTTGTTTAACTTTTTTACCTATAAATGTTATACTGTCTATATAATAAAGTAGGCTACACAACCAAGCAATGACAAAAAATTAAGTCAGACTGTAACATTGACTAACCTGTCGAGGAGAAAGCAGGCAACTTCAGCGTCTCTTCTGAAATCTTTCTGCTGCATTAGCTATTTCCACGGTTGAAAACGCTATCCCGATATTTAAGGCCATTGCACACTGAGTACGAAATTTTCGTATGCGTATTTTCCTGTACGTCAGCCTAAAAATTCGTCACGCATAGAAACCTTGCACACCGAGTCCGTTGCGTATTTATTAAATCCTTTGCGGGGAAAAAACGCAAAAATACCAAATGGATTCGTCAAGCAGTGAGGATGATTTTTGCTCTCTCTCATATTGAAAAGAGAAGAAATAGAAAATATCCATCCAATCCTGAAATTGCGCCGAGAGGAAGGAGTTCATTATCAAGAAGTTGCGAATTTATCCTGAGCGATTCAACATTTACCTCAGAATGTCAGCGGGACAGTTTGATGCTTTGCTAGCGATTCTGGAGCCACATATTAAAAACAAGACCACCAATTTCCGTGAACCAATCGATTCTGAACGGAGACTGGCAGTGTGTCTGGTATGGACCAGGTATGGACACACACAAACACCCGCGCGCGGCCCTGTGGAAGCGCTGGGCAGACAGAACAGCTATAGGCTGTTATTGTGTATGTATTGTGTATATTGTGCCCAAATAATACATTAGTTATCGAATAGGCTGCTCAATCACGCTTTATTCGATCCTAAATTTCAATCTGATTGAAAGGGGAGGTTTATTAATTTCATAATCCAATATAGAGAAGAGAACATAAACACTTGATCGAATTGAAAACCGAAACTGAAAGCACGGCGCATAATGTTCAATGATTTGAGGACGAGCTCCCCCGGCCCTGAATTGTCAAAAGACCTCTCAAAATGCTGGCTCTGGATGCGAAAAACGCAGAAAATCGAACCATATCCGATTAATTTTAAAACGGAAAAATGAATGGCCTTGTTTTTTGCAATCTCCGGTCACGTTTCCTTTTTCGTTCAAGTCTGGCCTGGCTTTTTTTGCGAGGAGGATGCATTCTCCTGTGACTCGGCATATGGTCCGCAACAAATAATAGAGCAAAAGAGCAATCAGCAATCATAGGAGTGCAATGCAGCCGTTTAAACTTGCAGGGAATGCGCCTCTCAATGTGACGTGACGATGGCTCTGAGTCTGAACGAAAACGCGTTGTGGAAACGCGTTTGGCTGGTGGTACTTTTTGACCCTCTCTGCTATTATAGTTTTCAAGATGGCGGAACGGACATGGAAGCCTCCGTGAACCTACCCGTCCCATGTACATAAAGATAATAAATTCTTCATTTACGAGGATAAGTCAGATAATTTGCAGAGGTATTTGTACACCATTGAGGACATATTTATGAATAAAAATATTGATTTCAGATAATAAAATACCTAAAAATCTACACAGAGTCCCTTTAATTTTTCATGAGAAAATTTTTTTTTGCTCTGTTTTTCTGAATTAATGAGTTAATTTTTCGTGAGAAAAAAAGTTTTTGCTCTGTTTTTCTGAATTAACTCGTTAAAAAAAAATTTCCATGAAAAATTAACTCGTTAATTCAGAAAAACAGAGTCGATTTTTTTTCTTCAAGTGAATGCCATACGCCTCCGTACTTCTGCTCACCAAGGCTGCTTTATTTGATGAATAAAAATGACAGTAATATTGTGAAATATTATGACAATTTAAAATGACTGTTTTCTATTTTAATATATTTTAAAATGTAATTTGAAAGCTGAATTATCACATCAGATTACACATCAGTTTTAGTGTCACATGATCCTTCAGAAATCATTCTAATATGCTGATTTTATGCTCAAAAACAATTATTTTCAATGTTGAAAACAGTCGTGTACCATTTTTTTCCCCAAAATTCTATGATGAATAGAACATAATTTATTTAAAAAATAATCTTTTCTAACATTATAAATGTCTTTACTGTAACTTTTGATCAATTTAACTCGTCCTTGATGAATAAAAGTATTTTATAATTTCTTTCCCCAAAAAATAAAAAATAAATTCTTACTGACCCCAAACTTTTGAATGGTAGTGGTTAATGTTACAAAAACTTTCCATTTCTGATCATTTCTGTTCTTTTGAACTTTCTATATACATCAGAGAATCCTGAAATAAAACTGTAAAAAACGGTTTTCAACATGGATAATAATCATAAATGTTTCTTGAGCATCATATTATAATAATTTCTGTAGGATCATGTGACACTGAAGACTGGAGTAATGATGCTTTGATCACAGGAATAAATTACACTTCACTATATATATTCACATAGAAAACCACTGTTTTAAATTGTAATAATATTTCACAATATTACTGTTTTTTGTTTTGTTTTTATCAAATAATTGCAGCCTTGGTGAGCAGAAGAGACTTAAAAACTTTTAAAAACATAAAAAATCTTACTGATCTAAAACTTTTGACTGGTATACGTTAGTATGGCGACACCACAAGACAATTGAGAATGAACTAACCCGTAGAGTATTTGGTCTTCATCATGGACACATGTTCCCCTCTCTTGGCTTTGGGAACTTTAATGTTGAACTGCAGTTCTCCGGCTGCCGTCCTCGCTTGGGTACGGCCAGAGTTTTCATTGAAGTGCAATGCAGCCAGGTAAAGTCTGGAATGAGGACGTGTATGGGATTACACCAGCATTATGACACCATATTTTGTAAGTGCCAATATTGTTTCAAATAATAATAAAAAAAAAAAATCATTTGCACAAAGCAAGTAAATCCACTTTTCCATGTTGATTTAAACCACATCAACATTTGTAATGCCTGTAGGATTCAGATTGAATGCTTTTAAATACCGTTAAAAGTTATACATTTTTGCAAAATCCATTTTTAATGCCCGCGGAAACCCCGTCTAATCGGTTCACATGGACACCAAAATGAAAAGCTTCCGCTGCACACACTCGCCGCTCATGTAGACCGTGATTTCTATACAATTTACCTGCAGAGCATCCCTAAGTATGAGAAGGCCACGTTTTTTGGTGCGAACCGCAAAATCTCACTGTGAAACGCCTCCAAGGCAGATGATTGGTGGACAGGGCTCAGCTTTTTCACATCACCAAGAACACGCTTGTTCATCAGCACCTTCTCCAGCTTGTAGATGGCCTTCGTTCCTAGAGGACGACGGAGAATAACCAACACATTAAATATGATGAGTGCATACTATCAGCGTAGCCCTAAAACCGTATTCACTTTATAGCCCTTAATCCTGTAATTGTGGACAAATGTGGGCACAGAGGACTCAGGTGTGATCCTAATTTTTATTTATTCTAAATGTTATTTTACTAAAGTTTTGTCTATCCATTTATGGTGTTTATTTTTATTTTAGGGGTATTTTTGAATTTATTTACTTAAAAAAAGTACCATATTTTCTATGAAAATTATTTTAATGTAAATGTAGTTTTATTTTTTTATTTTTTTAACTACATTAAAATATCATTCCAATAAGTTCTTAGAGGTAAAACCTAAATTAAGTGACTTTGCGGTCACTCACAAAAACTAAATTACAGTTTTTCCCATTCATTTCTATGGGTGCCCATTTTTGACCCAAATACAAGATTAAGGAGTTTTTCTTCACACACTTAACATTCAAAAATAGTCAAAAAAAAAATGTGTGTGTTCAGGAGGCAAACTTAGGAAAAGTAGCCAAGTCTTGTACCACTCAGATTATAAAAATAAATCAAAACTATTTCGCCCACATTTGTCCAGAATCCGGTTTTAGGGATAAATGCTATTGGACAGTGGGCGTACCGGGCTTCAGCCACTTGTTTTTGCCAGTGGAGGGAGGGTGGAGGCACTTGGGGAAGAGCGGATGTTCATGGACGTGCACATTCTGGACGTGGTTGAGAAGAGACGTCCATTTCGCCACTGTTTGCTCTCCATCTGATGACCCGGATGCTGACCAGTAGAGGTGATTGTTGATGCTCTTCTTCCACATTTTGACCTTGTTGCAGTGTTTCTCCTTTGAAACGGCATCTATCTTCTTGTTGAGCGCTGAGAACAGATTAAAAAGATGTGTTCAACAGTGATGCTAATGTTGATGCTACAAATAATCAAAATGATCCTACCTTTACATAAACGCCACGCATCATAAAAGTGGTCAACGTCGGGTTTCTGTTCCTGGAGGAACTTCTGCACCCGTGTGTGTCGGTCCGTCACCAGGGAAGATACTTTCACACCAGATTTTTCTAGAAATCCCAGACTCCGGATTAGCCCTTCCTTTTCCATACGGACTCTGCTTCCCACTTCACTGCTCTGTGGATCATAAACAGACAGTTTAACAGTCACACTCGGGACCTTCGGGTCAAAATTGGCCCAAAGTGCGGGATTCATATTTAAAAAAGAAAATCACAATTTTTTTTTTTACTTGTTTTTTATAATATTTTTTCTTTTCTTTTTTAGTGTTTTGAAAATTTTTCAAAAATAAAAAAAATGTATAATTAGTATTAATGCAATATTTATGACCAAATTTTCCCCCATTGAATATAATAGAAAAAAAAATAGCTTTTTTTAAAGCTGTATTTCATTTTAGAGTCAAGCCTAGGCCTCATAAAAGCAATTTTTGAAATTAGATGGATGCCATCTCGTGGACAAACTGAGTTTTTTAAAAATGCAAAACACATGTATAATCTGAATTTTTTGGTGTGTTTGTGTATTAAGGTGTGTTTGTGTATGTGTGGATGTGTCTGTTTTGCACTCTTGATGTTTTATAGATTCACCCCTTCACTGTTGTGTGCTTTTTTCAAGAGCGTTGCCGATTTGTAGATTGTACGCACAAAAAAAACTCATTATTTTCACATTTTTGCCAATTTCCCATTCATTTCCTATGCGGGTCATTTTTGACCCGAAGGTCCTGAGTGCGACTATTTTTTTTACGACCACTTAGACTTTTCAAATCCTGTCCCCAATTTTTTTGGGTGTTCATATACCAAGTACCAATAAAGTCACCAAGTTTCAGTCCATTCCGATGAAGCTACGATTTTTAACTTTTTTTTTTATTTAAACGCTTCGGGTCATTATTGACCCGAAGAACCCCAGAGGGTTAAATACAGACTTCTAAAGCCTTTCTCAAAACGTTTCCCTGGCAAATTCGGCCTACATTTTTTTTTTTTATAATCCACGTACCTGTACGAGCTGGATATCCACAATTTTGTTAGTGCGGAGATCCATCATGGAGTACGAGCCGTACTTTGCGCACTGTCCTGGCCCGTCAGCTCTCATATCCCCCCCGAGAGACACAGTTCCTCTCTGTTTTAGTCGCTCAAGCAGGTCGCTCTGGTGTGATCTCCACTTGCGCAGCACAGACGGCAGGATGAAGTTGCGCACATGATTTCGGTGTGTCGTTCTGCTGAAGGTTCTCACGCGCAGTGCGTTGAGCACCTGTGAAGTAAACCAGAAATAGCATGAACTACATCTGGCCTCAACTTTAGAAAAATAAATGTCATTGTTTGTACGAACCTGGTTGGTCTGCATGAACGAGCCGCCGGTGTAGTAGACAGCGGCTGATAGGTGCAGATTTCCCGCCGGAGAGCTGCCCAGAAGAGGCTGACTCCTCCACTCTCGGCTGTATGAACAGCTCTGGCACTTCTGGGTCACAGAGAGGAACGTCCCTTTCACAAATTTGATCACCTTGCAGACGCTCGAGCAGGTGGGGCAGGTCTTAAAAAGCTCAAGCAGACACTCCTCATATACCAAGTATTTCACCATGTCCTGTGGCGGCTTGGTTGGTGCTCTATTGACAAAGGAAAACACACAGACACACAAAAAAGACTTGTTACAAAGTGTATTATTTAATTTATTTAAAATTTAACCTTCATAGTAAAATAACACAACAATCACATCAGCGTCAATTAAAATTATGTTGAGGAAGAGATTGTTCATAATGTGTTAAGATCTATGTCCCGATCCACGTCATCGATATCATGCTGTTGGCCCAGAACGCTAAAAAATATGATCCGATACCTATCCAACACAAACCATGGGAAAATCTAGCTTAAACCATCGCCTAAATGCTTGAATATTACTGCCACAGCCTGTCACGTGATAACAGTAGTAGCCAATCAAGGCCTGTTCACACCGGGACGAATTTCGCGAGCGTTATTCGCCGACGTTTAACGCCTCGTGACTAAACAAAGGGCGCCAATGTGAGTGCCAACGCCACGTGTAAAAGCGTCATTTTTAAAAAAACGCTTCGTTTTTTTAGTTTGACGCGCTGCGAAAAAAAACAAAAAAAAAAACGCGCGCTGATATTCGTCCCGGTGTGTACGGGCCTTTATAGTCGCACGAGTATGAGAGTTAGCTAACTTACAGACTAGCCATGTCAGCTGTGTGGACGTATTTTAACCTTAAAGTCCCCGAATTGAAACTATTTACTTTGTTACTTTGTTAGCGCATATTACTAGTCTTGTGGTGAACAATTAATCCGTGCAAGTAAATATATATTAAAAAAATGTTTTACCTTGGTAATCTTTAATCAAAATCTGAAAAGTTACTTCCGGTCTGGAACGGTTTCTTTTTCTGATGACGTAGGTTTTAGGCTTGCCGCGATAGACGGTGTTGACGGTGTTACCGGTTTTAAGCCCCATCACCGGTGACATCACTTTCCCACCGTGACACCGCGATGTCTTGACTTTTTTTTTTTTAAGTATTCGTTTTTGCTAAAATATTTATTTGAATTAATTAAAAATAATAATTTTCAATTATTTAGTTCTGAAGAGAGCATTATAATTAAAAATGAACTGCGCAACGCGTGCCGTCACGTCACAGATCAGCAAGCATCAGGATTCCATTTAGCACGTGTGGAGACGAGAACGAGTCAAATTACAGAAAAGCTAGATAATGGCGGAAGATTTGGTGTCAAAACGCAATGCAAAAGCGCCTGTTTGGCAATATTTTGGCCAATATATATTAATGTTAATAAATGCCAATTTATAGTGTTTTACTTTTTTTTAGAGTGCTGTCATGTAGGCTAAGTTCCTTTTTAAAGTTTTTATTTTATATTCGTCTCTTTTTATTTGGTTTTATCTTATTTAAACTTTGTTTAATTTATTTAGGCCTATTTTGTTTTCTTATTCGTTAATAAACGTTTTATTTTTTTTGGGCCCACAGTTTGCCGATTTTCACTTTTTTCAGCCTATGCATGGGGTTATTTTTATTCGTTCGTTATGCTAATAAAAGTCTATAAATAAAAGTTTTATTATCAGCGAGTTGTTTTTTTTGTCCATTCAAGCAATTGACGCTTATTTCGAAAGTGAAAGTATAACGCGCACGCATTTAAAAGCTATTTAACCCCCCCGCCCTGCCCTCCACGGTGACACCGGGATTACCGGTGTTGTCACACGTCGATTAACCGGTGGGAAATTTTCCTCACCGCGGCAACCCTAGTAGGTTTCACAGTTTGGGTGGGGAAACGCTTAACCACTCCCCTCAAACCGTTAGTTTGCTATGAGCGAGAGATGCTAGAGTAAAACCCTGCCCTCTGTTCAATATTCCGTTTCACTTGGAAATACGTCACAGCACTGGAGAAAAATCGTTTGCAACTTCCGGTTCACGGGGACTTTAAAGAGTAAAAAAGTCCAACGGTCCAATGCAACACTTGCAACGCAAATATTTCGAGGGGAAGCAGTGCTGTTGGTCAGTTTAACGCCACAAACTTAATTAAGCATTTGGAAAAACACCACGCGGAACAAAATCAGGAATTTGGCGAAAATTGAAAACGGAGAAACTAGTTCAGTTTATTGTCCAGGACAACTTACCCCTATCTGTGGTAGACAATGTGGGGTTTCGACACTTAATTGAGCATCTCGAGCCTCGCTACACTTTGCAGAGTCGCCATTATATAACGGAAAAGGTAATCCCTCATATGTACAACGAAGTAGTGTTGTCACGATACCAAAATTATTGTTTCGATACCGATACCAAGTCAAGAATCGTGATTTCGATACTTTTTCGATACTTTTCCGAAAAAGGAAAGCATTTCTTACAGGGCGTTTCACATGCACCTCCTTTGCGTAGGTCTGTGCTCTTTAAATGCTGTAATAACCGGTGTTGGGAGTAACGCATTACAAAAGTAATACATTACAGTAACGTATTACTTTTTGCTGTAACGCAGTAGTGTAAGGCATTACTAATCAATTTTCAGTAATATTTTACTCGTTACATGTTCAGTGAGGCTTGTATTACAGTTGTATTACAGTGTATTGTCTGCTTTTACTTCTTAAAGGCAACAGACTATGTGAAAGTTTTAAAGCAGTCTTTTAGTGCCAGTTCAGAGCGGTCGCGTCTGTAACATTGTTTTTTCCTCATAATTGCGAACACGAAAACTAAAATAAAATGAATATTTTAAGTTCTATGGAGACTGGAGAGCCAACCCTTCCTCATCCGATTTGCGCAGTGTAATTAACAGAATTACAAAAAATATATTTTGCCTCCTATTTTTCTTTTCCCTTATATTAAAAATAAAACATAGACTGATATTTGTCTAATGTCTGGAGTCCTTTAAGGAAGTAGCCAATATACGTTTCAATACATGTATTTTCTGAGAATTTTTATTTCAAGTTTTGACTGCAAATGTCATGTCCATAATGCTGGACTTCCCCAATTTTCAATAATTTATCCTCAACTAGTTTTGTGGTGTAGGTCTACGTATTTTATAATGTTAACTTCAAATAATACTAATAGCCTAATTTAAAGATAAGACAGCATTGGATATGGACGGTAAGGAGAATAACGCTGGAGTTGGAAGAGGTGTGACGCGATTCTGTAGGTTCGTGGATCTGAGTCGTGTGGTGAATCGCGATTTCGGTTTCATATTGCATATCGTTAGAAGCCCAAAAGTTAAGTACTACTTAGTTATTTTGGTTAAAGTAACTCAAAAGTAATACATGAGTAATGTAACGCATTACAATTCTGAGACAGTAATATTGTAAGGTAATGAATTACTTTTAAATAACAGTAACAAGTAATACCTAATGTATTACAGTTTGGAAGTAACTTGCACAACACTGGTAATAACCTAATATAAATAAACCAATGACAAACATGCACATGCTCTGATTATAATCATACAGCCTATAGGACACTATCTGCATTTACAGCTGAATACGACCTGCCAGCCACAAGGACAGCAAACCAATGCGGGCTATTGGAGAAGGCTTCCACGGTTCTGGCCCCTTTTGAGGAGATGACAAGGGAGGTGAGTGCCTCCTCCACATCCTGATAGTGTGTGTCCTGAAACGAGCTCTCAGTCGGGAGAACGAGGTTGATCAGGCGATTAACACAATGAAGAGTTGGTCGACTGAAGTCCTGAAACAGCTGGCCTCTTTAGCAATGAACTTTCGTGTCTTGCCCTCGTTGTGCAAGATGTCAGTGGTCGTCTTTTGGACAGCTGTCAAGTATGATAGCGTAGCCTACAGAAGTAGACTGAGATGCCATTTAAAGGCCTTTGGAGGTGTGTTGAGTTAAAGGATTAGTTCACTTTTGAAAAAACTTTTGCTGATAATTTACTCACCCCCATGTCATCCAAGATGTCCATGTCTTTCTTTCCTCAGTCGAAAAGAAATTTAGGTTTTTGATGAAAACATTCCAGGATTTTTCTCCATATAATGGACTTCAATGGGAACCGGATGGTTCAGGTCCAAAATATAGTGTTAATAACAGTTTCAGATGCAGCTTCAAATGTCTTTAAACGACACCAGACGATGAATAAGGGTCTTATCATGCGAAACGATCGGTTATTTCTAAGCTTATTCCAAAAATGTAACTTTTCTAAGGACAAATGCTAGCCTTTCTCCATTCTGTGAGGCGCGTTTGCAACGTCACGTAGTACGTAATTACGTTCAAAAGGTCACGGGCGACGTAGCCGGAAGTACAGAGTCAGTGTTTACAAGTTGAACGCATAGGTTGAACGTGAAAACTAACTCAAACGGCGTTTACAAAAAAGGAATTATAAGGTAAAACAACGATGTCGGACGATTTTGATTCTGTACTTCCGGCTACGTCGCCCGTGACCTTTTGAACGTAATTACGTATTACGTGACGTTACAAACGCGCCTCACAGAATAGAGCAAGGCTAGCATTTGTCCTTAGAAAAGTTACATTTTTGGAATAAGCTTAGAAATAACCGATCGTTTCGCATGATAAGACCCTTATTCATCGTCTGGTGTCGTTTAAAGACATTTGAAGCTGCATCTGAAACTGTTATTAACTGTCTTTTGGACCTGAACCATCCGGTTCCCATTGAAGTCCATTATATGGAGAAAAATCCTGGAATGTTTTCATCAAAAACCTAAATTTCTTTTTGACTGAGGAAAGAAAGACATGGACATCTTGGATGACATGGGGGTGAGTAAATTATCAGCAAAAGTTTTTTCAAAAGTGAACTAATCCTTTAATTAGCTGATTAGAGTGTGGCAATATTGAACAATATTTTTATTTCATGATATTCTAATTATTATATGACCAGCACCTGAGCAGTATTTTTATTATTACTATTAGTATTGATTCAAGAATAAAAATCAAAATATCGGATTGATATCGGTATCGGCAAATATAGCCAAAGCTGCGGCATCGGTATATGAAGTGAAAAAGTGGTATCGGGACATCCCCATCTAGAACAAACAAAAGTTAACTTACTGTTCACTGGTGGTGTCAACCAATTCAGACATGCTGGAGTCATCAGGATCTGCCGTGTTGAAACCCATTACAGATTCCTGAAAAGAGGGAAACTCCAGGAGAGGGCGCTTTGATGGTCTATCAGGTGATCCTGCTCTCCGCTTCAGTGTAGATGAAGAGCAGAGCAGAGGAAGCAGGGATGTGGTGTTGGTCATAGTGGCACTCCTCGTGACTACAGTAGCTTGAGAACCTGGAAAATATATAGAGATACGGAGAGTAATAAGAGTTCTTTATGTATAGAGTTTATATTTGTAACAGAGGCAGAGCTATACAAGTACAATTACAATTCTGTCCAAGATTTCATACAGGGCGCATGACATTCATCACAATGTTACTGGAAGTAAAAAGAAATTAATTAGTGTGAGAGTCAAATCGAAAAATTATTATTATTTTTTTTTCATATTTAAAGCCCAATTTACAAAAGAGTAAAGTACTACTAAACTACTAGCCGAACTAATAAAGTTAAATTCTTATTAAAGGCAAGAAATCACTATTCAGTAAAAAATACATGAATTACAAATAATAGTCTATCGAAGGTACAAATAAACTAAGGTTTAACCATTCATTTCAGGTTAAAAAAAGAAAAGAGAATTCAATTCGGAGTTTGTGTGCGCCTCTGTGCAATGTTATCAATATTATGGTTTAACCCTAAAACCATGTTCTGGACAAATGTGGGCAAAATAGTTTTGATTTATTTTTATAATCTGAGCGGTACAAGACTTGGCTACTTTTCCTAAGTTTGCCTCCTGAACACACACAATTTTTTTTTGACTCAATTCTACAATGTTAAGTGTGTGAAAAAAAACCTCCTTAATCTTGTATTTGGGTCAAAAATGGGCACCCATAGAAATGAATGAGAAAAACTAATTTACAGCATTCTAAAATAAGCCAAAATAAGACACCAGGTGACAAAGTCACTTCATCTTTAGGTTTTAGCTCTAAGAACTTGGAATGATATTTTAATGTAGTTAAAAAAAATAAAACATAAAAATAAGCATAATTTACATAGAAAAATATGGTACTTTTTGAAGTAAATAAATTCAAAAATACCCCCAAAATAAAATAAAAAAAAACTTTATCGAAGAAATAAAAAATTAGGATCACACCCGAGTCCACAATTACAGGATTAAAGATGAACTGAACTGAAAAATTTCGACTTTGAAAACGTGTTGTTTATGACAATTAAAAGTAAATTACACTAAACATTTTTTTAAAATATATATTAATATAGCTTTTTTAAGCAACGCAAAATTGCGCTTGTTTGCGCTGGCAGTTCCGATGACGTCACTGGCATGGTAGGACCCGCGGAGCGCCATAGACAACAGCTGTAGGTCCTGTATACACAGACGAAAATGAGCACTTTTAACGGCATGGATTACGCATTTGAGCCCGTGAGGGACAGGCCGGTAGTGTCTAACTACCACCACATGGAGGACGATCAGTTTCAGGCTTCACTTGCAGTACAGGATCGTTTGGGGGAAAGTGACTGTGGGCGCGAGCGCTGTGGCGCACACTGCACGGAGACGATCTGTTGCAGAGAGGTCAACATGGACATTTATTGATCGGCGAAAAATGCATCACCATGCACCGTTCATTTCGGATGCTGTTCGGTGAGAGAAACGTGTTGAAGGAGGCTATGCTGTCTCTAATGGATGTCCGAGCTGAGACGCTGGACCGCCCCATAAGTAGCAGGGTATTTTACGAATAGGTGACGGCTGGGCTAACTTGTTACACTTTTCTCAGATTGTTTAGATTAACAACGTACTGGCAGTTCACTCTATGGGCGAGGGTGCATTTAGGAAGGAGAAAATCCCATCCTTTACAGTAAACTATACATCAGGGATCTTTTCCCCCTCACCCGAATATCAAGGATTCGAGTAACGTTAACGTGATGCATTGAACTTGTAACTTGTGTAAATAAAACATTTCATGCATTGTCAGACGTTTCATGTACTCATTGACGAAAGTACACATCTCTAAATAGTGTGTCGCTAAAAAATCTGTTTCCTCAGCCATGTCAGCGAGCCTCAGACTGTTTACAAGCTACGGCTGTTCTGCTGGTGCGGGTAGGCAACGGAGTGGCTTACCATGCCAGTGACGTAGTCGAACGTTGAAATCCAACATGGCGGCGCCCGTGTAACAAAAACAACACTTTTAATGTACCATTTTATCCCTTTTAACAAATTCTGCCATTTTAAAAATTGTACCAATGAGAATAAATAAAATACATCTGTTATATCACCTTTTCTCAAATTTCAGTTCAGTTCATCTTTAAGGGCTATAAAGTGAACACGGTTTAAGGGGTACAATCCACTGAATGTGAAAACAAGTGCACATTTCAAAAAGACAAACTAGGCACTTGATCTCTCAGCACACCTGTTTTATTAGCCACGGTCCGTTCCCCCACACAGGGATCTGTCTGACATCCCACTTCTCGAGTGACTTTCTGCGTGTCGTTACGCTGGCACTGGGTCTCTCTTGTGGTTGGAAGCTGGCACGGCTTTATTAACAGGTAATAGTTGACATTACTTGTCTAAGGAATCGTAGTGAGGCACATAAACATCATGTTAGAGGGTTGCAGAATATTGTTGAATACCTATTTTAATTATAACAAAGCACTTACAGTCACTGGTGGGCTCACTCTGCTGATGATGGCTGTAGGTGTCGGCTGGACGGGAGGAGGAGGGGGAGGGGGAGGAGGAGGAGGAGAAGGAGGAAGAATGAGGCGGGAGATGGTCGGTTCGGCCCCGTTCGCCAGTAACAGCGGATTATGAGTGAATCCCAGTTGTCTCTGATGGAAGTTTATAAAACAATCCTGTGTAAAATGGTCACTACAGAGGCGGGTGTTGGCGGTGAACCTCAGCTCTATAGTAAGGTGTCTCTTCACAAAATTAATCCACTTCTTCTTCATTTGCTCGTTTTTCGGAAATTTAAATAAGGACACCGGTCTGTTTGGTATGTGATAGTATGCAGGTAATATGCATTTCCGTGACGGATGCATAGCTAGCAAGCTGTAGTATCCAATAGTACTGCCTGTTACCCACGATTGAGCGGCAAACTGATGCGAATGTGCTCTAGTTATATTATTAGGGGCGGGGCCAGGACCTCAGCGGCTCCAGTGCGTCAACAGCAGTAGGGGCGGGGCCAGGACCTCAGCGGCTCCAGTGCGTCAACGACAGTAGGGGCGGGGCCAGGACCTCAGCGGCTCGTGCGTCAACGACAGTAGGGGCGGGGCCAGGACCTCAGCGGCTCGTGCGTCAACGACAGTAGGGGCGGGGCCAGGACCTCAGCGGCTTGTGCGTCAACGACAGTAGGGGCGGGGCCAGGACGTCAGCAGCTCCAGTGCATCAACAGCAGTAGGGGCGGGGCCAGGACCTTAGCGGCTCCAGTGCGTCAATGACAGTAGGGGCGGGGCCAGGACCTCAGTGGCTCCAGTGCGTCAACGGCAGTAGGGGCGGGGCAGGACCTCAGCGGCTTCAGTGCGTAAACAACAGTAGGGGCGGGGCCAGGACCTCAGTGGCTCCAGTGCGTCAATGACAGTAGGGGCGGGGCCAGGACGGCTCCAGTGTGTCAGAACCACCGTTTTAGCCCAAAAAATTCTGAAAACAACAATGGTGAAAAACTATTTACCAGTCTATCTCCATAGCCTTTATGCAAGCCGAACTTAGCCCCGCCCACAACATTTGAGGTCGGGAAGTTCCTACTTGATGTAACTCAAAACATTTAATTTTATATCTAGCCATCAGTTTTATGTAAAATGTTTGGTTGATTTAAATTAAAAGTCTTAGTCTTGTTAGTGTAAAGTACATTTCTTTAAATTAAAGTAAAATTATTGGTTGCCGTTGTCACGTGACTTCTAACGACTTAAAATAAAATTAACTAATTTTTCCATTTCCACAACAAAACAGTGCAAATAGACACTCGATAGCATCATGACGTGATTCATAATGAGACCGCTCGAACTCTGCATCGCTAATCATTCCAGAATCGACTTGATTTCAAGTTATCTGTAGTTATTATCTGAGATTTCTATTAAGATTACTGAAAAGGGTCAAAATGAACAGTAATGAATTAATAGAATTGAAAATACACCCACTTGAGTGGTTTATTTGATTTCGTGCATGTTATTATTCTGCTGCTGTTTAAATTAACGTTCTTCGCGTTGCTATTTACGCAAGGCATGATGCCATATCACGAGGTCATGTCTTGATTTAAAGTTTTAAATAACGCCTGTAGATCAATGAATTTTGTCCAGAGCGGAGGGAGACTAGTTTTTTAGTAAAATTAGGAATGAGGTCGTAGCCTATGTGTGCTTTTACAACGTTTAGCTCACGAGTTTATGATCTTGGAAAAGATAGAATTTGTTACAGAGTGACCCGTCTCTGTGTTTGGTTTGGTCACACACACACAAACTTATCTTAACGTTACCTCGTTCCCTGCTGGGTCGATTAGCACGCTGGATTTCACACACCCAAAAATATCCACTCCATTTCCATCGCTGACAGACACACTCACCTAAATTGTCTTTTGATTTTCGTTTTGTTTGTTCAATCACATTCATCAATACTCGTATGTGATCATTGTTTGGTTCCGTCTTTCGGTCTTTTATGTTGTGTTTATCGGCTGGCCAGACTCGAGCGCCACACAGTGGCCTGGATGAATATATAAATAAATACTGTATAGAAATATATAAATATATTGAAATGTTTTCCAAAAAAAACAAATGTATTTTTTTTTTTTGTGCAACATTTCAGGCATTGTTTATATACTTAAAACAGGGGACAACGCATATATTCACAACGAAGTAAATTATAGCTTGCAGTCTTAAATACAACTTACATGAAAAGCATTAATAGGGGTGTAGCCGGTAACACTTTAGAATACGGTTCCTTCGTAAATGAATAACTACACAAGAACTAATGAGTAACACAATATTAACAATCTAGTAACTATTATTAACTAACAAGAAACTCTGATTAACGAACTAGTAAGTAATAGCGCACAGACGAAAGTGGTAGTTCACTATCAAGTAATCAATAACTACTGTTTTTTTAATACTTCCCAGAGAACAACTGAAAAAGTTTATTAATAATCTAGTAACTACTATTAACTAAAAGAAACTCTTATTAACGAATTAGTAAGTAATAGCTCACAGATGAAAGTGTTACTAGATACTTCTGTGGGAATTACTAATTATTTGGATTCGTATTATAAAGTGAAGATCATTGGAACTAACTAGTAATTACTCAAGTGTTACTACATGATCTAGTCATGATTTGTGCAGATGTTTGAGATTTTTTGGTGAACTTTAGTAACTTTTAGAAAATGTCTTTAGTAACACTTACTAGTTCCAATGATCTTCACTTTATAATACGAATCCAAATAATTAGTAATTCCCACAGAAGTATCTAGTAACACTTTCATCTGTGAGCTATTACTTACTAATTCGTTAATCAGAGATTCTTGTTAGTTAATAGTAGTTACTAGATTGTTAATATTGTGTTACTCATTAGTTATTGTGTAGTTATTCATTAACGAAGGAACCGTATTCTAAAGTGTTACCGTGTAGCCTATAATAGAGACTACATAAAAAAAAATGGAGACCACAACTAGCACGCTAACAATTTTCTGGGCCTGTGGGTTAGTAAAAATAAATGTTTGTGTATATTAGCTGGTAATAGTGTATTTTTGTCATTCAAAGAGGGAAACTGAGTGCAGATGTAAACCGTGACATTATTTCAAGAATGAGATTTGGGCATACTGGACTGAATAGTACACTGAAGTTAATAGGGAAACATGAAACTGGGATGTGTGAGATCTGTAATATCAAAGAAACAGTAGAGCATGTTATTATTTATTGTCAAAAGTATAATGAGGAAAGGATGAGGCTGAGAAACTGGTTGAGAAAAGAAAAAATTAGATTGGATATGAAGGAATTATTACAAATGAATTCAGGTCATGTAGGATATAGAGCCATATTTGAATAAAACAGGTCTTAATAGAAGGATATAAATTTAGTTGTCTTAGGAAATTGTATTTATTGATAATGAATGAATATTAATGATGTTAATGAATATTTATTAAAGTTATTTATTGGTGTTATTATGGTTTTATGTATTTATATATTTATTTAAAGGGCAGTGAGGAAAAGCTATTTTGATCCACACTCCATGTCAGAAGGTGGCGGTAATGCACACCTAAAAAAAAGTTGTTTGCCAAAAAAAAAAAAAAGAAGAAGAAGAAGATGTAAACCGTAAATTCTGCATTAATTCCTCTAACTGAACTGAAGAGGGCAGCAATACGCCATTGTAGTTCTAGTCTGCCGTAAATATCAACAGAAGAGGAAGAAGAGTTTTCTGAGGTGAGTTCAGTAGTATTTCTCGCATTTACAAAACCATTACACGCACTTTATACAGTTTGATTAAGCGACAGACTCATTTCTGTGTTGTTTTCATCGATCACAGCGATACTTGTGCGTCTTTTCCGGCGTCTTCCTCCTGAAATACACATTTAGTGCAGCAGCAGCAGCGAGCCTGAGGAGAATATGTGGAGTTCATTCGGACCTGAGCGAGTGTGTGTTCGTTTGTTTCGATGTTTGTTGTGAGCAGAGGTGGGTATAACGAAGTGCATTTAGTACACATAGTTTATTCCAAGCGCGCTGTATCTTAAATTATGGGCACGAGCGATGTTCGATTCACTAATGAATCACTCTTTTGAGTCGATTCTCTTCAAAGACTTCATTAAACAACTTGACAGATCTGTCTAAATCGGTTCGCGATTCAGTTTGAATGTTTCCTCACGCACTGAATCTTTAGCGCTTTAATTCACACTCGACTTGGAGTCGTAACAGGAAGATTTAAGCACATCAAGAGCATTTGAGGAAGTGGCCGTGGACCTACAGTACAGTCCAGTCAAAGCTAATATGCAAATGCATCATAATTTTGCCAGCGATTTATTAGTTCTTCGTAAGCTGTCTGTGAATGAATGAATTTTAACATTTAAATTGTTTAATTTTGATTAATTTTAATGAATCGGACACGTCTGTAATGCAAATTACATACCATAATTTGCCAAACGGTACTACACTAAGTTTCGTCATGTCAGCATGTGTGGAAATATTATTTCCACACATGCTGACATGACGAAACTTAGTGTATTTACTAGTACCGTTTGGCAAATTATGGTATGTAATTTGCATTACAGACGTGTCCGATAACTAGGGTCTAGTTGTAATACCCTTAAGGGTATTACAACTAGACCCTAGTTAGGTTGTGCCCCGTTCTTCACTACATATATTTCTGTAAGTGTATGATATTCTATAAAAACCATTATTAATAATTGTAAGAATTTACATTTATTTCTATTCTGTTATCAGTTATAATATCAGTATAAAGCCTCAGTAACTCATACATTTTTTTTATTTATTTAGGCAGATCAGCTCCTCTCACACTTTAATTCATCACCAGTGAAGCTCCTCCCACTGTAATTCTCCAATTAATGCTGAAATATTCCCATCAGCTACGAGTGAAGACGATCATCAGAGCATCAGGAAGAGCTGAAATCTGCAAAGACTCAGTTTATTAAAGAGGACAGTGAGAACATGAGTGATCCAGAACCCTGCAGAATGAAACACACTGAAGATCCTGAAGAACAAAGAGGTTGGTGTTTATTCTTCATTCATACATGATGCTGGAGAACATTCATGTTACAAACATTCAAGCACTTCCCCAGATAGCAAACTGACATTGAATCAACGTGGAAATATGACATCGAAACAACGTTGATCTGACATTGTTTTGCTCATCGAATTAACGTTGAACCAACGTCAGACGCGTCATTCTTTCAAAACTAACGGAAAATCAACTTGAAATCAACGTGTTGTTTCAACGTTATGAAAGCAAACCAATTTTCGATTTCATTTAGCTTTGAAGAATGCCGCGTCTGACGTTGGTTCAACGTTAATTCGATGAGCAAATCAACGTTGTTTCAATGTCATGAGAGACGTCGTTTCCACGTTGATTCAATGTCAGTTTGCTGTCTGGGTCATCACTTTTTTGTTAAATGGGTACAGAATTTTATTGTTATTTGAGAAACTCTCATAATGATTGTCAAAATCAGTTCAAATTAAATATTAGCTCCTTTATTTTACAGTTATACCATTTTTGCAGCCATGTTACCGAAATGTTGGACATTTCTCAATATAGTTTATATTATATTATATTTTGGATATTCAAACAAATATTCTCCTGCAATGTAGGCTAATCTGTATGAAACTAAAGAGATGTGTAATTTATCCTGGCTCAGCTAATTATCATTACCATTAATGGATGGATACAATTTCGTAGAAAGAGTAATAATGCGAGAAATTTGTACAATTTTAAAATAATTGTTTTCGATTTGGATATATTTTTAAAATGCCATTTATTTCTGTGATGTAAATCTTTTGTCACATGATCCTTCAGAAATCACTCTAATATTATGATTTTCTGTTCAAGAAACATTTATGATTATTATCAGTGTTGAAAACAGTCGTGTGAAAGTTTTTTCAGGATTCTTTGATTAGAAAGTTCAAAACAACAGCATTTATCTGCAATAGAAAGCTTTTGTAATATTATACTCTACCGTCTAAAAGTTTAGTTTTGTTAGTTTTTGTACATAAATTAATACTTTTATTCAAGGATGCCTTATTATCAAAACTGACAGTCAAGACATTTATAATGTCACAAAATCTTTATTTTCACGATAAATGTTGTGCTTTCCGTTCATCAAACAATCCTGAAAACAAAATTACACAACTGATTTCCACATTAATAATAATCACAAATGTTTCTTCATCATCATGTTAGAGTGATTACTGAAGGATCATGTGACACTGGAGTAATGATGCTGACAATTCAGCGGAATAAATTACACTTAAAATGTATATTTAAATAGAAAAATGTTTATTTTAAATCGTACAAATATTTCACAATATCACTGCTGTATTTTGGATCAAACAAATGCAACCTTGATGAACAGAAGAGACTTATTTAAAAAAAAATATTACAGATCTAAAACTTTTGAACGGTAGCTTAGGTCTTTAGTAGGGCTGGATATTGACACAGATTTCACAATTCGATTCGATTTCGATTCACCAGCTTGCAATTCGATTACGATTCGATTCAAATATTGATTATTTTGGATATCAGGTACAATACATGGCAAGTTTTCTGAAGAAAAACAAATCTCTTAACTAATGCTGTAAACTATGGGAGTAAGTAGCCTATAGGCTTCATTAGCCGCCTATGGTGGGCACAAATAAATATAAGGGGAATGCAAATTAATGCCTTTATTCTTTAATTTATAAACCTGTATCAGTCATTTAAGAGAAATGTAAATGCGTGCAGATTAATAATTTTCCAATTGAGATTAAAACAAAAAGAAAACACTTTTTAGGTCCTTGAAGGTAAAATGTTGTTTTATGGTTTTCAAGTATAGTCACATAACTCGTAAAATTAGAATATTGTGTAAAAGTTAACTTAAGTAATTCAACTTAAAAGGTGAAACTAATATATTTTATAGACATATTAAATGCAAAGTGAGATATTTCAAGGTTTTATTTGTATTAAATTTGTTGATTATGGCTTACAGCTTATGAAAACCCCAAATTTAAAATTAGAAAATTGTGAAAAGGTTTTCATAATATTCACAATATTTCGAATTATTTCTCTCTCTGAATTATTTTAAAGTGCTGAAAATAATTAAATGAAACCTTTTTTCTTTCATTTCAGGCCTGATGAAAGTAAAGGAGGAGAGAGAAGAACTGAGTGAAGTGGAGGAGGAACATCATGTCAAGCCTGGAGAAAAACCTTTAAGTCGCTCAAAGACAAAAAGTATATTTTTAAAGAAAAGAAGAGCCAAAAAATCATTCACATGCACTCAGTGTGGAAAGAGTTACACAGCCAAACATAATCTTGATGTTCACATGAGAGTTCACACTAGAAAGAAGACGTTCTCATGTGATCAATGCGGCAAAACATTTGATGGATCAACAAGCCTGAAGAAACACCTGACAGTTCATACGAAGGAGAAGCCGCATTCATGTTCTGTGTGTGGAAAGAGGTTTTCATTGCTGCAATATTTACTTGCACATCAAAAAATACACACTGCTGTGAGAGAGTACATGTGCTTTGAGTGTGAGAAGACTTTCATTTCAGCGTGCCATTTAAAACAACACCAGAGGATCCACACTGGAGAAAAACCTTACAAGTGTTCACACTGCGACAGGAGATTCAGTCAGACATCAAATCTGAAAACACATGAGATGATCCACACTGGAGAAAAACCTTACAAGTGTTCACACTGTGACAAGAGATTCAATCGATCAACAACTCTGAAAATACATGAGAGGATCCACACTAGAGAGAAGCCGCACTCAAGTGATCGGTGTGGAAAGAGCTTCAGACTCAAACCAACTCTTAGGCATCACAGGAGAGTTCACACTGGGAAGAGGCGGGAGTCAGGTGTGAATCGCAGCATTATTCATGATATTTAATTTACTTTACTCCAGGTGTATGTTGGTCAATGCTGAGTCTATTTCAGTTTCCTCAGAATAGCAACACGCCAACAATGCGCCTGAACACACTCCTCGTGTTCAGATCAACACACCCATGGGCGAACAAATGGGTCAAAATGCATTTGGCAGGACGTGAAAATGATAAATGCGTCGGGCTGAAACTAGCAAAAACCACTGTTGTCCAAAACGGCTGCAGAGATAAAGGGTTTGTTTGAACGGCGCCCTCTACAGTACACGCGTGAATTATAAATGCACGGATGGGCTTTTATTTCATCCACAACCGCATCACTAAACTCATCATCTGTCCGCCATCCAACGTTTTTTATCAATTTTCAAAGCCGCACCCGCCCGCCATCCACTGAATGTTTTGAGGTCAATGCGCGATGCAAGGCGTTGCGGACTCGAGCTGTGAGGTTAGAAAGCTCTTGCCTGCTCTAGAAAGGATACTGATTCAATGCAGCAAAGATATTTAGAGAATAAAGTCCCTACTAGTGTAGCCTATGGGCTATGTTGGATGCGTCCCCAAAATATCAGCAGTGAACTCCGTCTCCGTCGGCGCACAAGGGCAAAATAAATAAAAAGTCTAAACGAAACGCACATTGGGAAACCTGACCATACTTGATTAGGTTACTGTACAATTTTATCATTCTAGTAAAAAATGCAGTTTGGTACAAAATTTCAACATGCTGCTATTTAGCCTACCGCTAGTTAAAGGAGCAGTTAACTTGGAAAAAAAAAAAAAAAAAAAAAACTTTTGCTGATAATTTACTCACTCCCATGTCATCCAAGATGTCCATGTCTTTCTTCAGTCGAAAAGAAAATAAGGTTTTTGATGAAAACATTTCAGGATTTTTCTCCATTTGATGCACTATACTGGTAACCAAACGGTTCAAGGTCCAACAAACACCTTCAGTGCAAACTGCAAACTGTTCAAAGGGCTTTAAATGATTCCAGACGATAAATAAGGGTCTTATCAAGCAAAATGATCGCTCATTTAAAAAAAAAACAGAGTTTAAAGGTTCTCTAAGCGATGTGGGGCCAAAACATTTTTTGTCACATACATCAAACATCTCCTTACTATCGGCTAGCTGCCTGTCCCCTAAACACACTGTAAAAAAACGCGGTCTCTGTAGACACCACAGGCTCCACAAACGGCAACAAAAACAATCATGTCTTACCCGGACCACGAAACCTAACAAACAGTGTTCCAGCCAATCACTGGCAAGAAGTATTTGAGGGTGGGTCTGGGGGGTTAGTGCGCGTGCACATGAAGGGGGTGTGTGTGTGAAGGAGAGCAGCGAAGCATCAGAGGGAAGTTTGAAAAATGGCCAACACAACCAAAAAGACGTCGTTCTGAAGAAATTAAAAAGAAGGAGTCGGATAAAGAACGTGCGAAGTTCCGAATTTACATCGGTAGCAAAGCTTTTGAACGATGGCGAGAACTCCGGCGGCAGAAGGGCTTACAGTCTGGTTCAGGTTGCTCTGTTTTTGCTGGACAGGTGGGTAACGTTAAATTGTTTTTTTCTTCTAAATTGACGCTTATGTTCGCCAAACCCACACAAGGATATAATTTGCTAGAACTATGCACGTTCACAATTATTTCAGGAAGGACGGAAGGGAGGGGGAGGAGATGAGATGCGGAGGAGGGAGGGTCTAGCTAGCCTCCGATTTGTTTGAAAATATTCCGAACGTCAACACCCAGGATCGCTTAGAGAACCTTTAAGTTTTATATGCTCAAATGCTCGCCATGTTCATGACTCTCCTGTTCGAACTCGTTCATCAAAATGAACAAATCTTTTTCCGAGTCAATTTTGTTCGTTGAATGAACCAAATGACTCAAAAAATGATTCGTTCATTTTGATGAACGAGTTCGAGCAGTTGGCACTGAAACTGTCTTTTGGACCTTGAACTGTTTGGTGGCCAGTTAAGTCCATTATATGGAGAAAAATCCGGGAATGTTTTCATCAAAAACCATAATTTATTTTCGACTGAAGAAAGAATGACATGGATATCTTGGATGACATGGGGGTGAGTAAATTATCAGCAAAAGTTTTTTTTTTTTTTAAAGTGAACTACTTTAATGCCTATTGCACTTTTTTTTGC